TCGTCACATTTATAGCGCAGTATTGACGAGTTTACATCGCCTACAACACCAACAAACATCTTTATCGTAGACTTCTTACTTTCTTGTTGGTTGCAATAGAGATGGACACTTTATTCGTTTGTGTAATCATCCTTTACATGTGTTTTGCTGGTAGTGGAGGTTTCTCAAAAGAAGCTGGGATCGCCGTCTGTACACGGTTAAGAAAGTAGAGTCAGGTTTGCTTGATGTGCGACAGTGATGCGCTCTTGGTGACCATGCCGGGCAAAAGTTCTTACGTAGGCCCCCACCATAACTCCTGTTATGTCAAGATCCATTTTTACACCAATTCACTACCTTTTCTCCATCAAACTTCATACGAATTTTATATAATTACCATCCAACTTTCTGCAAGGTTCGCGGTATACCATTGTATCAGTCGTACATTTAATACAGCCAAAATATTAACCTGTTCACATTGACATCTTTTAAGATATCCATCTATAGATAAACGTCTTCATAACATCCCCCAGAACTCATCTATGTCTACCTCTAACGTAAAATCTTTTCCTCTTCCAAAACGTCACTCCCTTGATTATCTTTTGTAGTAATTGCCATCTTACACTTGCCATCTTAGGTGTGATGCTTTACTGACATTAACCCCTCTAAAGTGGACCTGAGGTCCTCACAGGTGTGATGCTTAACTGACACTTACTCCGCTAAAGTGGACCTGAGGTCCTCAAAGGTGTGATGCTTAACTGACACTTACTCCTCTAAACTGGACATGAGGCCCTCACATGTGTGATGCTTAACTGACACTTACTCTTCTAAACTGGACCCGAGGCCCTCACAGGTGTGATGCTTAACTAACACTGAATACTTTAAAATGAATCTGAGAAACACACAAGTGTGATGCTGAACCCGAGGTACTCACAGGTGTGATGCTTTACTTACACTGACTATTCTAAACTGAATCTCAGGTACTCACAGGTGTGATGCTTTGCCGACACTGATTCCCCTTAAATGGATCTGTGGCACTGAGAGATGTGGTTAGCCTACTCCAAAAGTGTTGACAGGTTTTCACAACACATGAATAGTCTGTTGTAGATTACTTTTTACTTGTGAAAATCTTTCACAAATCATATCCGCTCCTATTACCTTACTACTCTCCTGCAAAGTTTTAAAGCACTCGATGGGTACTAGCTTTTTGTTGTTGTTCTCAGCAACGGTGCATGTGTTTCTATGACTGCTGCGTACTCCGACATGCATAACACACATGTAACTGCTCTAACAAGACAGCAACCTCTCCGAGAGCATCATATTAATGGCTATGTCACCTCTTCTTTTTCAAGTCCATTTTACTTCTACATAGTGTTGAATTTAAAGATGGGTCCCAAGAGAATGCAAGGAGGGGGTGATAAGGTAATTATAAAACAAACAAAAAAGACACATACCGGTACATGTAACAAAATTAAACGACAAAAGTATGTCAATTGAAATCTCGTTATACATACACATATCCTATTTTTTTATAAACAAGACACATCCTGTGTGAGCCCATCACAGGAGAGTCAAGATAAACGTCATATTTTAATCGGATCGTTGCCGGTCATTTGCTATCAGTGGCCGCTCTCGGTCACACACTAGTGTACCGTGGTACACAAACGAAGTATAAATGCTTCAAAGGTGCCTGGCCGCCTTGGCCATCATACAATACAATGATCAAATACCTTTTGATACTGTCTAAGTTAAGCATCAACACCTTCTATAATTATTAATAAGACAATGATGTAGAATATTCGTAACACATTTACAATGACTACAAGCTATTTGGAAGCCGGTCGTATTCCACTGTTCAGTATCCTATTGATTTGTAACGCACGCCTCATTGAGTAAATGTTTTACTTTATCAGATTTCATCTAAATTGTTTTTACTTCATCCAGTAGATACATCAAGAGTGTGCCTAAACAAATCTCAGTTTGTGGTACATCTCCGATAGACGATAGACGTGTAGATGGACTGTATGAAATGGTTTGTCATTACTAAGTAAATAAGCGCATGGGGTTCACTGATTTCCTTGATTATAAACACGTACTATGTGTATCTTACACAGTGTAATTTAGGATATATGATAATAATACATTATCCCGTATTTTATCAGCACAGTATTGATAATACAGTGTATGTAAACAAAATTAACAGCAACCGAATATACTTTATATTTTCTCTATGCTATGTACAATGATGTAATCATCACATTTAATTGTAAGTACGGCGAAAACAACTGTCAGATTAATAAGTTGTTCAGCAAATACTTTGACCGCATGTACAATATTTCAAAATGCACCACAGATGTAATGAATTAATGTTCCACTTAATAACGTGATTGATTTTGTTTTTACGTAAATGTGTTTAAACATAAAAACAGAGGTTTGACAATCGACAGCTGCTTAATTGTCATTTTGTAAAAGTTAATTGAAAATAAAAAAACNAGGTGTGATGCTGAACCCGAGGTACTCACAGGTGTGATGCTGAACCATAGGTACTCACAGGTTTGATGCTGAACCCGAGGTACTCACAGGTGTGATGCTGAACCCGAGGTACTTACAGGTGTGATGCTGAACCCGAGGTACTCACAGGTGTGATGTTGAACCCGAGGTACTCACAGGTGTGATGCTGAACCCGAGGTACTCACAAGTGTGATGCTAAACCCGAGGTACTTACAGGTGTGATGCTGAACCCGAGGTACTCTTTGGTGTGATTCTTTGCCGACAGTGATTCCCCTAAAATGGATCTGTGGCACTCACAGATGTGGTTAGCCTACTCCAAAAGTGTTGACAGGTTTTCACAACACATGAATAGTCTGTTGTAGATTACTTTTTACTTGTAAAAAATCGTTCACAAATCATATCCGCTCCTATTACCTTACTACTCTCCTGCAAAGTTTTAAAGCATTCGATGGATACTGCTTTTTGTTGTTGTTCTCAGCAACGGTGCAGGTGTTTCTATGACTGCTGCGTACTCCGACATGCATAACACACATGTAACTTCTCTTACAAGACAGCAACATCTCCGAGAGCATCATATCAACGGCTATGTCACCTCTTCTTTTTCAAGTCCATTTTACTTCTGCATAGTGTTGAATTTAAAGATGGGTTCCAAGAGAATACAAGGAGGGGTGATAAGGTAATTATAAAAACAAACAAAAAGGACACATACCGGTACATGTAACAAAATTAAACGACAAAAGTATATCAATTGAAATCTCGTTATACATACACATATCCATTTTTTTTATAAACAAGACACATCCTGTTTGAGCCCATCACAGGAGAGTCAAGATAAACGTCATATTTTAATCAGATCATTGCCGGTCATTTGGTATCAGTGGCAGCTCTCGGTCACACAAAAGTGTACTGTAGTACACAAACGAAGTATAAATGCTTCAAAGGTGCCTGGCCGCCTTCGGCCATCATACAATACAATGATCAAATACCTTTTGATACTGTTTAAGTTAAGCATCAACTCCTTCTATAATTATTAATAAGACAATGATGTTGAATATTTGTAACACATTTACAATGACTACAAGCTATTTGGAAGCCGGCCGTATTCCACTGTTCAGTATCCTATTGATTTGTAACGCACGCCTCATTGAGTAAATGTTTTACTTTATCAGATTTCATCTAAATTGTTTTTACTTCATCCAGTAGATACATCAAGAGTGTGCCTAAACAAATCTCAGTTTGTGGTACATCTCCGATAGACGATAGACGTGTAGATGGACTGTATGAAATGGTTTGTCATTACTAA